ACAAAATCTGTGCACTGGTAGGGTCCCTAGCAGCTGCTGGCTGCTGGCCGGGTACTCCCTCCCTTTTCCCGGCGGGCCCCTGGTCAAACTCCCGGAAGAACTCCCAGCCGAAGGGACAATTTGCATACTATGCTTTTATTATATAGGATGGGCAAAAACTAAAACCATTTCTCCTAAGAACAGGAAGAAGCTAGTGATGCCCTCTTTCACTGCTCTTGTTCAACATAGTTCTGGAAGTCCTGGCCATGGTGATAAGACAAGAAGAACTAAAAGGCATCCAAATTGGAAAGGAAGAAGTAAAACTCTCAATATTTGCAGGTGACAATCTATTATACATAGACAATCCTCAAGACTCCATGAAAAAGCTACTAGATTTAATAAATGAATTCAGAAACATAGCAGGATACAAAATTAATACCAAAAAATCAATGGCTTTTTTATACACCAATAGTGAACTCTCAGAATGAGAAACTAAAAAAACAATCCCATTTACCTATGTCACACAAAAATTAAGATACTTAAGAATAAACTTAACCAAGAAGGTAAAGGACCTATATTCAGAAAACTACAGGACATTGAAAAAAGGGATAGAGGAAGATAAAAACTAGTGAAATAATATACCATGTTCATGGATTGGTAGAATCAACATCATTAAAATGTCCATACTACCCAAAGCAATCTATAGATGCAATGCAATCCCTATTAAATTACCAACAGCATATTTCACAGACCTAGAACAAACACTCCAAAAATGTATATAGACTCAAAAAGACCCCGAATAGCTACAGCAATCTTGAGAAAGAACAACAAAGTTGGAGGAATCAATACCAGATATCAAGTTATACTACAAAGACACTGTACTCAAAATAGCCTGGTACTAGCACAAGAACAGGCATATCAATCAATGGAACAGAACAGAGAACCCAGAAATAGACCCAAGCCACTATGCTCATTTCATATTTGACAAGGAAGCAAGAACATACACTGGAGCAGAGACAGTCTCTTCAATAAATGGTGTTGGAAAAATTGGATGAATACATACCAAAAAAATGAAACTAGACCACCAACTTACACCATACACAAGAACAAATTCAAAATGGATAAAAAACTTAAATGTAAGACATGAAAACACAAAATAAGAAATCATAGGCACCAAAATCTCAGACATCTCTCGTAGCAATATGTTTACTGATACATCTCCTAGAACAATGGGAACTAAGGAGAAAATAAACAAATGGGACTACATCAACATAAAAAGCTTCTGCACAGCAAAAGACACACGCACACACACACATCATCATCAAAATAATAGGAGAGCCCACTATATAGGAGAACACATTGGCCAATAATACATCTGATAAGGGGTTAATCTCCAAAATATATAGGGATCTCATACAACTTAACAAAAGGAAGACAAACAATCCAAATTGAAAAATGGGCAAAGGACCTTCTCCAAAGTGGACATACAAAAAGCCAAGAGACATGAAAAATCCTCAGTCACTAATCATCTGAGAGAATGGTTTAGAGGTTATTGCAGTATTATAGACAAGACAAGAGGTGACTGGTTTGGACTAGAGCAATAATAGTAGATACAATCAAAGTATAGATGAGGTAGAATAGACTTGGTATTGATTAAAGGGGGCAGACAGAGGTGTCAAAGATGACTTTCAGGTTTCTGATATGAACAACTGGATAGACAGAGGTGGTAACCAGCCTCTGGGATGACCCCAATGATCCTCGCCTCCCGGTATTTACACTCTTGTGTAGTTCCCTTCCACACTGAACCATGGGTAGCCTGTGTGAACAACAGAATATTGACCAAGTGTTTACCTTATGAGGCTGAGTCATGGTATAGCTTCCTCCTTGCTCTCTTTTGGATTATCTGCTCTGGGGGAAGCCAGCCACTGTGTTGTTAGAACATTCAAGCAGCTCTAAGAAGCCTTATGGAGAAGTTCATGTGTGAAGAGGTGTCCTACCAACGTGGCAGCCATATGGGTCACTATCTTGAGAGGGGATCTTCCATACCCATTTGAGCTCTCAGATGACTGCAGCCCTCGCCGACTTCTTGACTGCAAACTCATGAGAGAGCTTAAGCCAGCATCATCCAGTTAAACTAATTCCAAATTCCTAACCCTCGGGAACTGTGAGACAAGAAATGTTTACTGTAGCTTTAAACCGCTAGATTTTCTGGCAATTTGTTTCATAGCAATAGAAAACTAATTCAACATTAGTGCCAGGTTTGGGTTTTTTGAAGGAGGGGTAATGATTTTGGTTTGGGCATGTTTAATTTCAGATGCCATCTAAGTGGAGATATTGAGTAAACAATCCTATATAATAAAAGCCTAATATGCTAAGTGTCCGACGGTTCAACTGTTCGACCAGTCGCTATGACTCACACTGACCACCAGGGGGCAGACGCTCCAACCCGTAGGTTAGCTTGCTGCTGGGGTCTGGCTGATCGGGACTGGACTAGATGGGCCAGACATGCCCTAGAGCCCTCCTGTGATCCCTCCCCTGCTGGCCAACCTCCCACAGTCCCTCCCTGGCCGGCCCAATCAGCCCCAATAGGGACTGGGTAAGATGGATCGGCACGCCCTGGAGCCCTCCTGCAGTCCCTCCCCCACACCGATCCTGCACTGGTGGGGTCCCTCAGCCTGGCCTGCAGGAATTGAGCTGAAACCGGCTCTCCAACATCCTCTGAGGGGTCCCAGATTGCGAGAGGGCGCAGGCCAGGCCGAGGGACTCTGCTGGTGCACAAATGTGTGCACTGGGCCTCTAGTTATACATAAATATCTGAAGTTCAGAAGAAAGCTAGACGAGGAATTTAAATTTGGGGAGTCCTTAGATTAGGGATGGTATTTAAAACCAAGAAAGAGTGTGAAGATACAAAAGAGAAGAGAGCAAGAAAGGCTTCTAGGAAGAAGTGACAGCTGAGCCCAGTGTTGTTATACGAATAGGGGCTAACCTAGAAAGGAGCTGGGGTATGAACTGGAGGTGGGGAAGGTAACTTCAGGGCCTCCAGGAAGCTATGATGTGAATACACCGCTTGTGGGGAGTGGTGTCCATTTAAGGCTATTTCCAAGTGTCTTCTGACTGAACCATAAAGTTCTGTCCATATATATCTCCCTTCCAAAGGCCATCCTTGTTTGGTGTTAAAGGGTAAATGAGATTGCAACATAAATATAAACAAAATATTTGGGGTTAATGAAAGACACACCTGCAATAAAAGAGTCTATTTTGCAGATGAAAAAAATAAAATTAGCAATCACAAAGGAGTTGGTAATGTATTCTGCGCCTCCTCAAGCCTCCTTTCACAAGGCAAGTGGTTTGAGGAACAGGTAATCTACCAGCTGACTCATATTTCTCGCTATGTGTCCTGGTTGCTACATTGTATCTATATTACAAGTATATCTATATTACAAGTTTATCCATATATCTATATTATATATGGAATAATACATAAAAAGTGGCATAGAAAATACCAGGAGAGATTTCAGATATGCGTTAGATTGTCAGAATCAAATAAGAAGCACAGGGGAAGTAATCAGAAAAAAATGTATAGATATTTACAGGCACTCTCTACTATGAGATTAGCCCAAATGGCAGGGGTCTGTCTGCGCACACAATCCCTGTGTTCGTGGGAAAGAGGAACATGTTTTCTTCTCTGGCCATAGACATGTGAAAAAGGATTAACTCAGCTACCTGGTTTTTGAAATTTAATGGATGTATTTATGGAAGAATATTAGAAGTGACTGGTCTTGCTTCAAAAATTCTAAATTTCCTTAACCTGGACTATGTTTTCAAAAATTCAAGATGCATTTAGCAAAGCAAGGGAAAATAAATTCAGGCTACTAGTTTGGCAGCTGGTCTGGATACAGTATTTTGCTCTGTTTATTCTGTCAGGAAGCCAGTTCCATTTGATTAAATTCTGAAATTAGAATGCATGCACTCTGGAAGATACCAGGCAGCTTCATGCTTTTACCCATATGGAAAATGTGATTAAGGAAATGAACTCAACGGCTGTAGCATCAGAAGAGATCAATGCAACAGCTGTATTCAACTAGACTCAATGGGCTAGACCTTTGCTTTATTAAAATGGATGGCTTTACCGTGGAAACTGTGGCCACATCACAGAACTGCCACATCGCTCCAAACTCAGGCCGAGGAAGGAGCCAAGTGAAACTGGCATCAAATGTCATGGCAGCGGTGCAAATGCAGGGCCACTCTCCTGCCACAAAACTCAAAATTAGCCAAAAGGAGAGATAATTAAAGAATTTATATGCACAGCCTTCCCACATCAACATACTGGATTATTTTTAAATTGCTGGTATGTCCCAATTTGGCAAGTTTTACAGAATTCCTCCCCAACAATCCTGAAATTCTCTGTGGGGTGGCAACGTCTTTTGCTTTGCCTGAAATGAAGTAGGTCATGAATAATAATGTATATGTAAAATACTGTCAGAGTCCAGATAACGCAGGCCAAATCAAGTAGAGAAAGTAAGTTAGCCACAGAAGAATATGTGCAGTATAATACCATTTATATTGTTTTTAATTTTTAAAAAGTCTTCTTTCAGTTGTGCTACTGAGTTATTTATTTTATTGTTTTTAGGGTGGGTTTTTTTGCCCCGGCCAGGTGGCTCAGCTGGTAGGAGCCTTGTCCTCTGCACCAAAAGGTTGCAGGTTTGATTCCAGGTCAGGCCACATATCTAGGTTTTGGGTTTGATCCCCAGTCAGGGTGCATACAGGAGGCAACCAGTTAATGTTTCTCTCTCACATCGATGTTTCTCTCTCTCTCTCTCTTCCTTCCTCTCTCTCTAAAAAAATTAATAAACATATCCTCAGGTGAGGATTAAATTTCTTTTTAGCTGATTTGAGAGAGAAACATTGATTAGTTGCTCCACCTATTTATGCATTCATTGGTTAATTCTTATATGTGCCCTAACCGGGAAATTGAACCTGCAACCTTGGCTTATGGGGATGACACTCCAACCACCTGGCCAGGGAGTGCCACTGAGTTATAACTCAGTGTGTCTTTACACAATGGGCTTAAAAGACTCCACTTTTGTTTTAATATTGCACTTTTTAAATCTCTCTCTGTCTCTCTCTCTCTTTCTCTCTCTCTGTCTCTCTCTCTCTCTGTCTCTCTCTCTCTCTCTCTCTCTCTCTCTCTCTCTCTATATATATATATATATATATATATATATATATATTTATTTATTTCAGAGAGGAAGGGAGAGGTAGAGAGAGACAGAAACATCAATGATGAGAGAGAATCATTGATCGGCTGCCTCCTACACGTCCCCTACTGGGGACTGAGCCCACAACCCTGGTACGTGCCCTTGACTAAAATCGAACCTGGGACCTTTCAGTGTGCAGGCTGATGCTCTAGCCCTTGAGCCAAACTAGCTAGAATAATATTGCACTTCTTAAACTCAGCTATTATACCATACACATTGTTTTAAAACAGTAAGACATTTCCATGTTACATTTAAAGATACACTAGGGCTACACGTGTAATCAAAGTAGTATTAAAAATAAAGCAAGGGATGCAAGACATCGAAGTCAGGGTTGCCGGGAGCCGGTCCATCCTTGCTGTTTCAAGGGACCTGGCATATATGGCATACTGTTCTTAATATGTTTGCTCACCTTCTTGGCACTATGTGTTTTAACCAAGGTCTCCTCTCTGAGAAAGGTTGTTTCCCCAGGTAGGGATTTTCCCCTGAAGTTAGGGAGGGAATAAAACCTCTTAACTAGTGCCAGGCGGGTAATTAATCACTTTAACTACGAACAATCATGCTTAAGCTACATAATCTTTACTCCCTGGAATGAAGATAAGAAACGCCCTAACCTTTGTAATAGAGATTGATAGGATTGAATCAACTGTTATAAATACAGATGCAACAAGACAGCAAGACCCAGAACTTAGAAGACAGAACTTAGAAGACAGAACCTACACAGAACCTAGAGACAGAAGAACTTCGCTGGAGAGAACATGGCAAAAGATCCTGGACTGAACCTGACAACAGAAATTGGCAAGAGAACCTGACTAGAACCTGGTGACTGAACCTGGCTGGAGAACCTGGACAGAACCTGGCTGAAGAACCTAGCGAGGGAACATGGCTACAGTACCTGGCTGGAGAACCTGGAGAACCTAGCAAGAGAACATGGACACAGAACCTGGCTGGAGATCCAAAGCAGAACCTCTCTGGAGATCCTAACCAGAACCTCACTGGAGATCTTGACCAGAACGTGGCTAGAGAACCTTGCTATGATGATCATCTGAACACCCTCTCCGTGTCATTCCTTCTTCACTAACTCCGTCCACACCTTTGGGGACCCCTAGACCTGCTGGGGTTGGACCCTGGCACAGGGTCGATTACATCAGGTGGGAGGAAGTGATATGGATACAGGTGATCAAAGTGGTAAACAGAAGGGATTTTAAGAGTGGGGCAATACTATTTTAAGTTGGGTGGTAAGTACACAGGTACTGGTTTCAGTTTTATGTACACTGTTTTTACATATTATTGTATAATGTTTTAAAAATCAACATCTGTCGCCTGGCCAGTGTGGCTCAATTGGTTGGAGCATCGTTCCATACACTAAAAGGACAGGGATTTGATTTTCTGTCAGGGCACATGCCCTGACAATCCTCCAATGTTTCGTTTCTCTTTCACTCTCATTCTCTCCCTTTCTCTTTCTCTAAAAACAAACAAATAAAAACAAAACGAAGGCAAACAAACAAACAAAATAAACAAGCAAGAAACCTGCGAGGCACTCTGGATTTGGCCACCAGCTGCCAGTAGCACAGCACAGTCACCAAGCGTATGGGCTCGAAGGGCAGGGGCCCTATCAAATCGGAATCCCCGCTCCACCACTACACAGTTCTGTAGACTCGGGCAGTTACTGAAATTCTCTCCAAACCAAGGCATGCAGAAGAAATCCAGCTGTTTGTCAATTTTGCTTATTTATTTACTTATTATTATATTTAGTCCTCACCCGAGGATATTTTTCCATTGGTTTTTAGAGAGAGTGGAAGAGAGAGAGAAATATCCATGTGAGAGAAATACATTGATTGGTTGCCTCCTGTGTATGTCCTGACCAGGGCCCCGGCCAGGAGGAGCCTGAAACTGAGGTATGTCCCTTGACCAAAATCGAACCCAGGACCTTTTGGTCTGCAGGCTGAGGCTCTATCCACTGAGCAAAACCAGCTTGGGCCGTTTGTCAATTTTGTACTGTCCTCCATCTAAGAATGGTTTGTACAATTTTTAAGTGGTTAGAAAAACTGCCCTCAACCACTGCTATTGAACTAAATGGCTTTGGAAATTAGCTTTTGCTGTGGGCTTGATACTATTTCTCAATGAATTAAACCTAAAGCTATAAGGCAAACAGCACTTACGCACCAAACTTATACTGTAGTAAAGTCATCCCAACAGCTAACATTGTTTGAATCACAAGTGATCTAAAGCTGTGTTATATACTTGCTGTGCTGTTACTAACAAATTTGCAGTACATACATTTTCTGTATTCAAACTACAGTTCCAACAGCGTCTTTCAGACCTGGATGTAGGTAAAAAGAAAATGTCCAGATTTTAAAAACCTATTTAAATGTGCAATCGAGGACCTAAACTTCACTTGGAAGCAATTAATCTGCAACATAATGACATGCTAAAAGGTAAATATTGAGAATAATTTAACAGAATTGTATAAATGCTTTGCAACAAATACGCTCAATTAAAACCCTATGCTCATGGACTGATATCAGTATTTAGCAACGCCTATGACAGAAAACTTCAGACATTTTCAAAGATAAAATACATATCATCTCGCTTAAAATCGCACGAGCTGAGCCAGGTGTTTGAGCATGAGCTCCCTGTGACTCCAGGCATTGTGCCATCTCCTTCATAAATACTTACTTTCTTGGCTAAAAAAAAATCACATTAATAGATGAGCATTTGCTATTGATTTTGATGATAGGAAACACTAACTTTAAACTCCAATTAAAGAAAATTATATCCCCTCCCCAAAATAATTCTATCTTCTCCTTAAAGGTATTAGTATTATAAAAGGATTGTATCAGTTATTATCTTTTAAATTTCATCAACATGAATTTTGTGGATATTTGTTTTATCTCTTGTTTTTTTTTTAAAGTTATTTATTTTTGAATTATGTTTTTATTGACTATTAGAGAGAGAGGGATAGATAAAAACATCAATGAGAGAGAAACATCATCTATTGGCTGCCTCCTGCATGCCCCCTACTGGGGTTGATCAAGCCCACAACCTAGGCATGTGCCCTGACCAGGAATCAAACTGGTGTTTTCTTGGTTCATGGGTCAATGCTCAACCACTGAACCATTCCAGCTGGACATTGTGTCTGCCTGTTGTTATGTAAGTACACACATAATACTCTCAGTTTTTCCTCTTGGACTATGTAGATTAAAAAAGGGTTTCTATGGAAAGTAAACTCACAGGGTGATCTGATTATAAATTTCTAACTGGGCACTAGCTCATGGTGGGTAGTCGCCCCAGGCATATAACTTTAGTAAAAGGTTTACCTTTGCTTTAAGCCAACTCTGAATGCATTGTTTCTATGCATCTACGTCAGTGCTTTACGACAGCAGGCTGCAAGAATTTTTAAAACATGCAATACCTGACTGTTTAGTCAGAGGCACTGACTTCATTTCCCTTCGATTGTCAAATTTAAAAATAGCTAATAGCCATCCGCCACCGTGGCTCAGTGGTTGAGTGTCGACCTATGAACCAGGAGGTCACGGTTCGATTCCTGGTCAGAGCACATGCCTGGGTTGCCTGCTCGATCCCCAGTGTCCGGTGTGCAGGAGGCGACCAATGGGTGATTTTTCTCATCATTGATGTTTCTCTCTCCCTCGCTCTTCCTTCCTCTCTGAAATCCCTAAAAACTTATTTTTAAAAAAATGCTAACAGCCAATGCAACAATAGCTGTCCAGTGTGAATGAATAAAAATTGCAAGTATTTTATGGTGTGCTACAGAATTTTAATAATTAGTTTATGTGTGCCATGAAAAAGGTTGATCTAGATTAATATACCATTGAAATAACCACCCTCCTTGGCAGAGTAGCTCAGTTGGTTAGAACGTTGTCCTATTTTCAAAAGGTTGCAGGTTCGATTTCCTGATGGGGCATATACAAAAATTGACCAATGAACACATAAATAAGTGGAACAACAAATCAATATTTTCTCTCTCTCAAAAAAAAAAAAATGGCCCTAGCCAGTTTTGCTCAGTGGATAGAGCTTTGGCCTGGGGACTGAAGGGTCCTGGGTTAGATTCTGGTCAAGGGCACATGCCCAGGTTGCAGGCTCAATCCCTACAGGGAGCATGCAAGGGGTAGTCAATCAATTATTCTCTCTCATCATTGATGTTTCTATCTCTCTCGCCCTCTCCCTTCCTCTCTGAAATCAATAAAAATATATTTTTTGAATGATAGCTTTGCTGGATAAAGTAATCTTGGTTGTAGGTTCTTGGTATTCATCACTTTGAATATTTCTTGCCACTCCCTTCTGGCCTGCATAGTTTCTGTTGAGAAATCCGCTGACAGTTGTATGGGTATTCCCTTGTAGGTAACTGACTTTCTTTCTCTTGCTGCTTTTAAGATTCTCTCTTTGTCTTTTGCTCTTGGCATTTTAATTATGATGTGTCTTGGTGTGGTCCTCTTTGGATTCCTTTTGTTTGGGGTTCTCTGCACTTCCTGGACTTGTAAGTCTATTTCTTTCACCAAGTAGGGGAAATTTTGTCATTATTTCTTCAAATAGGTTTTCAATATCTTGTTCTCTCTCTTCTTCTGGCACCCCTATAATTCTGATGTTGGTACGCTTGAAGCTGTCCCAGGGGCTCCTTACACTATCTTCGTATTTTTGGATTCTTTTTTCATTTTGATTTTCTGGTTGGGTGTTTTTTGCTTCTTCGTATTTCAAATCATTGACTTGATTCTTGCGATCCTCTAGTCTGCTGTTGGGAGTCTGTATAATATTCTTTATTTCAGTCAGTGTATACTTAATTTCTAGTTGGTCCTTTATCACAACCTCGAGGGTCTCATTAGATTTCT